TCTGAGGATCACCATTCAAAGGCAGCCAGGGCAGAAAAGATGAGATGCTCATCTTCAAGCTCAAGTGGTAGAGAAATAGCTTTGAGCAAAAAGTCCTGGGGCAGTGCCCAGGTCCTTTGCTGAAGCTCTGGAAAACACACACACACACACACACACACACACACACACACACAAACTGAACTGAGAAACCAGACAGAGCTTCATATTTCTTCTCTATGGATAAGAAATGCCCTTATTTTCCCCATTGTTTAACACAAGCACTGCAGAGCTGAGGGCACTGCTTAGTGTAGGGTATGGGTCTATCTGCCATTTACCAAGCTCTGGGTTCAACTAGCTCTGCAATCAAATAAAAGAAAAACATTTCTTTTTTATTATTATTACATCAGCACTGCAGGTATTTAAGCTGTCTTAAACACTCAACAGTTATAAACTGAGAGAAGAAACAAAGGATGCATTGTTTCTTATCGACAAGCAGGAAGACTAGTAACAGGACCTGTACATTCAAAGGTGCCAGGACCCAGCTGATGGAGAATGTGGATTAGGTGTTGCCTCTGAAGCCAAAGATAGATGTTAAGTTTGTTTTCTTGACTGCACCCCGTAGCACATTTCTGGAAAAATGGCCCTTTTGAGGGAATGACCTGTCAAGCTAGTCATGTCTTAATGCAGTTATACCAGGTCAGTCCCAGGAAGCACATTCTTCCTAGTTCCTCCTGAGAGGCCTAATTAGGTCTTGAGATAAAACATCACCACCTACCATAGCAATGCAATTTACCAGCATGTTCTGCCCAACTGCTGAGTAGCGCTGACAAGTGGAGGTAGAGAATACAGTCATCACACAGATTTCATTGACAGCCTGGGTGCTCTGGTTATAGGTGATCTGACCAGCACCTATTCCTTCCTCCTCACCTTCCATGTTTCTCACTGCCAAATACAGCTCCATTCTGGAAGGATCTGCTAAAGTCTTAATGGAAAGTGATAAATGACTTATTAAGATTAAGGACATTCAGGAGTTGAGGTGTAGCCTGCAGGTTAATAAGCATATAAGAACCCTGAGTTCAGTTCACAGCAGCAATAACAATAACAACAGTAGAAAGAAGAGGAAAAAGGGAAAGGAAAAGTTCATCATCTGCAGTTTCTTAAATGAACCCTGAGATATGTATTCAAATGTTTTTTTTTTCTTTCATGCAATTGTTTCTAACACATTTATAAGATTATTTCTTTGTTGCTTTGTATGTCCCTCCCTGACGGTATAAACCCTGCTTTCACTGTATTCGATGTCAGTATAATTTGTGGAGGGGAAGGGGAAAAACAAATCATTTAAATAGGGATACAGGTGGACCCATTACAACAATGAGATGTACAAGTCGTTTTGTTGAAAACGAACTTTACAACTTTGGTGGGGGGGGGATGATTGGGTGAGGGAGGCGGAGGGAGGATGGGAAGGGATGGGAAAGGGAAACAAAGGAGGAGGCTACAATGCTTGATAAGAAATGTACTCATTATCTTGCCCATGTTATTGTAACCCCTCTGTACAATATTTTCACAATTAAAAAAAAAAGAAATGTACTCATAAAAAAAAGCCCCTGATAACTGCTGAAGCTACCAAAAGTATGAAAGCATGAAAATGGAAAACATTTCCATACTATTTATTAATCCTTATTAAATACTAAATGTTTTCCATTTTCCTACTACTTAATAATCCTTCTCTCTCCCTCTTTAAGCCCCTTTATCATCCCGTTTCTTCTAATCTTTTGTCCTGAAGTGCCACAATATCAGCTGTATAGCACTTTAGAATATCACATTTTAACTTGTGTGTGTCCATTCTGGGGCTTGAACTCAGGGCCTGGACTTTCCTTTTCTTGCTCAAGGCTAGAGCTCTACCACTTGCGCCACAGCTCCACTTCTAGCTTTTTTCTCTAGTTAATTGGAGAGTTTCATGGACTTTCCTCATAGGCTGGCTTCAAACCATAAACCTCAGATCTCAACATCCTGAGCAGCTAAGATTATAAGTATGAGCCCCTGGAAAAAAATGAGGATTTTGTTTTAGGTCTATTTGGCTTCAAATATCACACATCTGCAAGAAAGCTACCTCCAGCAAAAAAATGTCTACAAATCGGTCCTGCCTTCTGTTCTTTTTCCTCAATTCTCATTCATCTATCCTATAAGCATTTATTAAAATATCTACTATATTCCAGGAGCTGTGACAGATTCTGGAACAAAATACAAAATAGCAAAACAATGCCCCTGATATTAAGCAATTCCTATAAATAAAAGAAAGCCAACCCTTTTATTAAGAATTTATATGGAGGGCCGGGAGCTGGTGGCTCACGCCTGTAATCCTAGCTACTCAGGAGGCTGAGATCTGAGGATCAC